ACGAAAGGGTACCTATGTGCGAGGCGGCTATGTCAGCCCAGAGGGCAAGTTCTTCACGTGCCTTGCTTATTCTTGGGATTTTTTCAGGCTTTCCTGGGCTGGGGTATATCAGGGTCTTGACGGTGCCAGCAGAACATGCATGCACTTGCAAGTCCACAGAGCTGTGTAATTGAATTCTTGTGCACGTCCCGAAACCAACTGTATATGCCTTTACATAAGCCGAAGAAGCTTCATTATCACAAAGCATTCACAAGCCAAGCCTATCGACCATCCCAGGCCAGGGCAGGGCAGAGACCGAGATCGCGGACGTGGAGGCCGCCGTGAGCAGGGGAAGAGAGCAAAGCAACAACAGTCCCACCTGGAGGACATGAGAGAGGCTCTCACAGCCTTACACACCATGGCCAGGGTTGTTGAACGGACAGCCAAGTAGGCCAGGCAAGCAGGCATGTCGTGGAATATGGTATACCGTATATAGTATACATGCAGTGCATGGTACACTGTTGTATGTCACTTTCTCAGTGTAGCTCTTGAGGTCACAGGGCAGTTAGATCGCGAGTTTTGTTCCGTGTTGCATGACATGCCGCAGCCTGCCGATCCTTATCGATCACTCCTGTTGTCGGCTTTGTATGAGGTGGACTTACGTAAGGAAGTCTTGAGGGCATGAAGGCCACACAAAAGAGACTTGTAGGCTGCAGCAGACCCAGAAAAATAAAAACAGCATTCAGGCATCGTGTGACCTTCGCCCGTAGAATCGGCTTGTCAGTCGGGTGCACCCGAAAGAAGGACGGTCCGGTCTCGGCAGCATGTAGGTGTCGAGGTGTTGTAAGCCCATGTGCCCAGGCCACATAATTAGCGAGACAGCTTCCGGCGCCCGCCGACACCCCATATAGGTACTATTCTGGTAGTGTTTTAGAAACTATAGTCAGAGTTAAACACAAGGCCCAGATCATGTAACCCTACATAACCAAATAAGGCCCAAACCCTGAACCCTGAACCCCTTAATCCTAAACATGTCCCACCTTTAAGGCCTGTGTAGGTGAACATGTTCCGTGCTTTTAACACAGGCAAGAGCTACCGAGGCCGGTCGCAAGAGCAGTTCCCGACATCATGGTCTCCCGATGGAAATCCCGGGCCCCCTTTTGGCACGTGCACAGGGTTTCTGTATATAGTCGTTCAGCACGTATAGGGAAGTTTGCTTAGACGTGTTCGGTGTGCACTTGTCCTTTATAACCCTTATAGACCCTGAACCTTCTAATCCCTGTAGATCGCACGTGTTGGGGAAGCCCGGCTCTTGATTCCCCGTGCCGTCTCACCTATCCTTCCGTGCAGGCAGTACAGGCAATGGTCGCAGTGATTATATATAGGTTCTATATAAGCAGGAGCCAGGGTCACCGTACATAGGCTTTTGGTGTGGTTGTATGTATTTCCGGTGTCGCGAATACATAGATAGGCTTTCATACCTAGACTTCGTTTGCAATGCTGCACCATTGCGGGGCCTGCTTTGCTGCCACCTTGCAGCGGCGACTGAGTTGTTCAGAAGCTACAGAATAAATTGTCGGCCGTGCGGTGCAATGGGTCCATTTAGGGTTCGGGTGGTATGTTATAATGGGTTTCGGGTGATATGTTCTGGTGGCTGTCGGAGTTTCTTGGAAGTGCTGCTGCAGTACAGGAGCGACAGTCGTGCTGTGCATGTCATGCAATCAGGAGTGACAGTGGTGCTGTGCAGTGCCTGTACATGTCCTTGTGGTGTTCTGAAGCAGTCATGCAGTGTTGTGCAGTGCACGAAATTTTCCGCCGACCCCCCCCCCCCCCCAAACAGCTTCAAACCAGCATCTACCAGATTTCAGTTTTTCGCAACCAAGCAAAACATAGGCAGGGGTGTCGAGAAATCCCATGGTGCAGTTGCAAAAAAACGAAACAGGCCACGTTCGGGCCAAAATTGGCCAAAAATCACGGAAAAAAATCGGCGAGAGTTTCCCCAGGGGGGTACCCCACCGTGGTGTGTTGAAGAAAGATGAGATTTGCAGCTTTATTAAAAAATAAAGTTGCAGGGTGCAGGTTTATTTTTTAATAAAGTTGCACCGTGCAACTTTATTAAAAAATAAACCTGCAAATTCTAGAATTAAAAAGAATCTTGAAAAATAAACCTGCAGTGAGCAACTTTATTAAAAAATAAACCTGCACCCTGCAACTTTATTTTTTAATAAAGTTGCTTTGGCCAGTGTGGCTGCTGATGGCCGAGCTGCCGCTAATATTTCTAAACTGTCCCGTGACCCTAGAGCAACCTTTGGGCGGCTCCGTGATAATCTTTTGTGGGTGGTGTGGGCACAGAAACCACTCTGGGAAAGCAGTGGGCGGCGGCTCGGAGGACGTGGCGGGCAGTCGTGTGGTGTGATGGATAGAGAAATAATAGATAGATTGTATCTATATTCTATGTATATATCCATGCACAACTATGGATATATATATATATATGTACATATATCCATGGTATATATGTATGTATATGTGTGCATGTAATGAGCTCGGTGCATGGGGTGGATCGGAGTGGGGTCGGGGCTTCCTGCATGGGGCGGCAGGTTGCACGGGGAAACAGAAGTACATGCTTTGGGGACATGGCAGGGGAGGGCTGGGGTGATCGCCGATCAATCTGAAAGCCGTGGCTAGAATAGCCCGAGGACTCATGCATGTGCAGTCTTGTGGTGCATGTGTTGCAGTCATGTCAAGCATGTCAGTTTACTTGTGCATGCTTCTGAAGAGCAGTGCGGTGCATGTGTTGCATGACGACCACAGCAGCAACAGCAGCAGCCGCAGCAGAAGGATCCAGAACAACAGCAGCAGCAACAGCAACAACCGCAGCAGGGATGGAGTGCATGGTCTCCAGTGCAAAGGATGAATGGTGGTGTTCGGCTCAGCAGCAGAACAACACATGCATGAGCATCATGCAGCACCGCATGCGAGAGAGCAGAGCACAGTGACTTCATAGGCGATGTACCCTCACGAAAGGAGGTCCCTGGCCATGTTGCTTCGCACTCTTTCAGTGCGGTGGATGCAAGATCACTTCGGAGCGGACCCAGAGACTGCAGACTTCGACTCCGAGGATGAGAGCCATGCCATGGAGTCTTCAAAGAGCATCATCAAGGAGGTCGTCGAGTCGATCAGCAAAGCCGAGCTGGAGGAGCTGGAGGAAGCGAGCGGTTCGAAGAAAGATGACGACAAGAAGAAGGACGATGACCGCAAGAAAGATGCTCACAAGAAGACGGGCAATGACAAGAAGAAAGATGACAAGAAGAATGCCCCTGTGAAGAAAAAACGTAAGGCGACCTGAGGCAATGACAAGAAGAACGATGACAAGAAGAATGCCCCTGTGAAGAAAAAACGTAAGGCGACCTGAGGCTGTTCTTGAAGGAAAAGAAACCAAGTGAGCCGCATGCAGGGGTTTCGTGCTGTGCATCATAAACCCTATATATGCCCTATTAAGAACCTTATATACCCTATTATAACCTATGTAAACCCTCCTGATGCTGTTGCTGTTGCTGATGCTGTTGGTGTGGCCGGGGCTGGGGCTTGGGTTTCCGGCGGTGCTGTTGTTGTTGCTGATGGTGTTGGTGTTGGTGTCATTGTTGGTCTTGGTTTTAGTCTGGGTGTGGCTGTGGGTGTTCGTGTTGGTGTGTGTGTGTGTGGGTGTGGGGGTGGGGGTGGGTGTGGGTGTGGGTGTGGGTGTGGGTGTGGGTGTTGTTGTCGTTGTCGTTGTTGTTGTTGTTGTCGTTCACTTGTCATGTGCAGTGCATGCGTGGCGTTTTGCAAGAAGCAGTGCATGTCGTTTTGCCAGAAGAAGAAGAAGAAACACCACCCCCACCACCACCACCACCACCACCACCACCACCACCACCACCACCACCACCACCACCACCACCACCACCACCACCACCATGCACCACCACCATGCACCACCACCATGCACCACCACCACCACCACCACCACCACCATCACCACCACCACCATGCACCACCATGCACCACCACCATGCACCACCAGCATGCACCACCACCACCACCGCCGCCACCACCACCACCGCCACCACCACCACCACCACCACCACCACGACCACCACCACCACCACCACCACCACCACCACCACCACCACCACCACCACCACCACCACCACCACCACCGCCACCATTGCACCACCACCACCATTGCACCACCACCACCATTGCACCACCACCACCACCACCATTGCACCACCACCACCACCACCACCACCACCACGACCACCACCACCACCACCACCACCACCACCACCACCACCACCACCACCACCACCACCATTACCTCTGCACTCTCTCGCTCTCTCTTTGTCTCTGTGAACTCTCTCACTTGCGGTCATGTTACAGTCATGTCCATGTTGTGCTGTGTGCAAACATGTCAGTTGCAGGCTTTGATGTGCTGTGGATGTGCAGACATGTCAGTTGCAGTCATGTGACATGCAGTCATGTCCATGTTGTTTCTGGATGTGTGCAGCAGCAGCAGCCACAACCGCAAAACCAGCAGCAACCAGAACAGCAGGAGCAGCAGCAGCAGCAGCAGCAGCAGCAGCAGAAAGAGCAGCAGAAGAAACGAAACCCAGGACAACCGGGAATGGCAGCAGCAGCAGCAGCCAGGGCAGTGTATAGAAAAGAGTGAGAGACAAAGACATGGAAAGACTGAAAGAAAGAAGAAGGCACCGCTGAAACGCCGCCGCCACGACCGAGACCACCGCCGCCGACCACCGCCAGTATCGCCACCGCCGCTGCCACCACCGACACCGCTGCACCGCCACTGCACCGCCACCATGGCACCAGGCACCGGGTATATATCATATATGCATTATAATATATATATATATATATATGTATCTCTTCGGGAAGCAGGGCACAGCTCGCTCCCGTCATCATCGCAGGGCTGTGCTCGCGAGTGGATTCTATCTAGTGCGGCCTGCTGTTTCTTGCCCGCTGCAATGGCAGAAGCATTGAAGGGAACGATGGAGCAGTTGGGCCAGTTCCTGCTGCAGCAGAAAGGGACCATCCCAGATCTTTCATATGCAAATATGTTGCAGACCCACGTCTCTACGTTGAAGAATGGATTGCAAAAGCTGGCGAAGGTGACCCCGTCCGAGGCCACGGACCTCAGCCGCAGCATCGCAGCAGGGCCCTGGAACCCGGAACAAAAGACCGAGCTGTGCCAGGTCCTCTCGGACAAGCTGGCAGCCACAGGGTCTTCGTCTCCAACCGAAGAGACGAAAACACAAGAGTGTCCGCGATTCGGTGCCTTTTTATCGCAGGATGACAGACGGATCCTCGCGGATCCGTCGCAGTCAGAGAGCCAGAAGCTGCATCAGCTTGCGAGCCGTTGCATGAAGATTGGATTGGTGCTGCCCAGCGAAAGCTGCAAGGGCCGCATATTGGCGAGTGGAGTGGCAGCCGGGTTGGACGCACAGACGGCCAGCGCCTTCTACGCCGCTCTGACCGCCTTCAAGAAGATCCTGAAAAGGAAGCGGGAGATGATCCCTGGCAAGACCAAGTTCGAGCTTGCCATCTACCCGGACGGCCCGGATCAGCTTCCCAACCATTTCAAAGAATGCTATGCCACGGACCCAGCGGAACCGCTGAGCATCGAGCAGATCCTCAAGGTCAGCCAGGTGCAGGCTTTGAGGAAAAGCTCCAAAGCCCTTCAAGCTGCGAGTTCCTCCTCGAGCTCGGGCGGATTGATGCCCCTGGGAGCCGGGCTCGGACAGGCAGATCAATTCACCCAATTCATGGCAGGGATCATGCATGTGGTGAATGCCATGCAGAACCAGCAGCAGGGGGACCAGGACCTCAGCAACCTCCACCTCTTCAAGCCCAAGGCCAAAAATCAGAAAAAGGCTTTGGCACTTCCTGCTCCTGCAGACCAGACCTTGCCAACCAATAGCACCCCTGAGACTCCCGAGAAGCCTTCTTCATCGAAAGGCATGCAGTTGCTCACCCTGCCGGCCCCCACGGAGCCTGGCCCAGGGGCGGAGGACAAGGAGGACCAGCAGGGCGATCACAAGGACGAGGAGCAGAACCAGAACGAGGCCGAGCAGCAGTTGCAGTGGTTGGCGAAGAAGCCGGCAGCAAAGACGGCGAAGCCCAAGGCCGTGGCAGGCATCTTGAAGAAGCCTGCTGCAGCGAAGTCCAAGGTCGTATCTCAGCCGAAGGCGAAGTCCAAGGCCGCAGCTGTTCCGAAGGCGAAGTCCCAGGGCAAAACTCCGATCGTGAAGACCATCCGGAAGAAGAGTGGCTGGGTGGTGGTGTACAAGTGGAAGGCCACAGATGGCTCGATCTGGGGGAAGTGGTGGAGCCCCGAGGGCAAAGGCTTCCCATCCGGTTCCAAGGCCGCCAAGGCAGGGTTCGATGAGGACCGTCTACATGCATTGCAAGTTGTAGCCCATGACTTCCCGGCAAGTTCCATGAATCATGTGCTAGCATGAGTATGACATGCGAGGATGGGCCAGAACGCTAGAACTGAGTGCAGCGATGCGAAGTTCTGTATCATGCAGGGTGCACGGTTGGTGCTGCCCGGTTTTTGTGTCATCGGCGGAGAGCCACATGATGATGCCGCGATCCGAGAAAGACCCCTGTTTTCCTGCCTGCTTGCATGTCTGGACATCTTAGCAAATTCTGTCTGCATGGGTTTTTCATTGAAAGTTATATGGCTATATATATATATATACACATAGGGTTTCTATATAGGAATGTAAATATATAGGTTGCATGCGGGTACAGAGAGTCTCTCTATGACATGTCAGGCCTGGTCGGCCAATGCCTCCGACGAGGCAAAGGACGTGTCCCCGTTGGCGCTATATATGTGGTTTTGTTGCTGAAATGCTTCGGTTTGTCTTGTCTTTATGTACAAAGATTTGAGGATTTAAGGGGTGTGGTATATAAGGATATATAGATGAGACTATGCAGGGTTCAGGGTTTAGGGGTTTATAGGGTTTTAGGGCCTTATAGGGTTTATTAAGGGGTTATCTGGGGTATATATAGGACTTCGTCGTCGTCGGTTGCTGGTGGGTCAGGATGGCCCATAGCTGAAGTCATTACACTTGTGGTGCAGGTCGTTTCGCATCATCGGGGACCTGTGCATGGTCTTGTGATGTAGTGAATATATGTGGTTTGAAAATGGGTTTAAGGTTTCTGTAAGATTTATTTACTCTACATATAGGTTACAAAATGGGTTCAGGCTAGGGGTTTAGGGTTTCAGCCTTCCGGTTTTAGGGTTTAGGGGATATATATATATAGGGTTCAGGGTTCAGGGTTTAGGGTTTGGGTGCTAGGTGTGGCTTTGTTGTGATATGTTTCGGTCTGTCTTATCGTTTGACAGATGCAGATGGTGTTGTTATGAAAGGATATGATGGAAACCATATAGGTCCTAATATAGGTTTCAGGGTTTATATTGTATGGGTGTGTATACAGGCTTTATGTATATAGGCTATATATAAGGGTTTAGTTATATAGGGTTTCGTCGTGTTGGTGGTGGATATATGTAGTTCGAAGTGATGCTGCTGTGGTGCAGTGCATGGTGTATGCTGGACGGTTTCGGTGGTGGTACATACCATATATGTATATAGATATGTGGGTGTTGCTATCATGCATGGTGCACCATGGTGTATATAGACATATGCAGGTCATGGTGTTTTGTTCTTGCATTGATATAGAGCAACTGTGCTACCTTTGCATGCTGCGAGGCTTGTGCCCTTCAAGTCGGATCTTCTTTGCATGGCTGCCTGAAAACTGAGCTTTGTATAATCATATGACCTTTTACATAAGATCCTTTCACATCTATTTTACATAAGATCCTTTCACATCTATCCTAGCCAGAACATGCATCATGAGCTGGGACACTTATGTTTGGAGACGAAATCATCCGATCGTATATAGAGACATTTCTTCGGATTGCAGGGCTCGGCTCGCGATCCGCCGGTGCAGGGCTTGGCTCGCACCCATGCCGCCTCTGGACCTAACCAAAGTCGGGAGGAAGAGCTTCGTGTCACAACATGGGTTGGCAGAGGTTTTACGTGCAGTGAAGGAAGCAGATTCCTTGCCAGCTGGCATCAGTCAAAGCTCCGTGAAGCGGGCCCGGGACAAGAGAATGGCAGCTGAGACACCATTCGGTCCAATGATCAAACAGTGGAAACTCGGAAAGAGAACTGGAGGAGAGATTGCAATCGACTATTTGGATCCGGCCGCCTGCCCCTGGCATCGGCTGAACTGTTGCGAGCTGTTTCGAAGCTTCATGCTGGAGATGTTGCACAGGAAGCAAGCCACCATCAATTCCCGATGGGGGATAGTGCTGTATTCCGACGAAGTGTCGCCGGGCAATCAACTTAAGGTTACGAATGCTCGGAAGCTCCAAACTTTTTATTGGAGCTTCCGAGAATTCGGCACCAGCTTGACCCGCGAGGATGCTTGGCTGCTGTTGACTACAGTGCGATCCAAGACGGTTGCAGATCTGCCTGACGGGTTGAGTCAGCTCGCAAAGCACTGCATGCTGAGCTTTAGCGAAGATGACCGAGATTTCCGTTTCGGGCTCGCCCTCCCAGGCATGGTTTTGTGCGCTGAGCTTGCCATCGTTGTCGCCGACGAGAGTGCACTGAAGCATATGTTTGAGTTCAAAGGTGCTTCCGGAAAGGTCCCGTGCATGTTCTGCCGAAACATTGTGTTGAGGCGATATGCTCCGACACCGCTGACCCCGGCATTGGAGTTGCACACGTGTACCGACAGCAGAAAGTTTAAGCTCCACAGTCTCAACTCGCTCACGGCCACGGTGAACTTGCTGGCATCGAAAGTGGATGAGACTTCGCGGAAAGACTTTGAGGAGATGCAGACCCACCTCGGCTTCAACCATTCTCCTCAGGGGGTTTTACTTTGCGAACCCCTCATGGCCATGTTCGACCCCACCAAAGGTGTGATGTTCGACTGGGCACACGTGTTCTGTGTGGCCGGACTTTTCCACCTAGAAGTCAATTTGCTTCTGGGCAGGCTCAACCAGGAGAGGGTGAAGCAGGAGGTCATTCACCAGGCTCTTCAGGAGTATTCTTTGCCATCTTACCACGAAGGCAAAGCGAGTACCATCAAGAGCATATTCCAGCCGAAAAAGGGCGACTCCGATTGGAAGAGCTCGGCCAGCGAAGCTCTCGGGGTGTATCCAATCCTCCGGGACATCATCCATCGCATCAGGGAGACAACAGAGCTGTCGGCAGATTGTTTGGGTGCCATTAGCTCGTTCCTTTTACTTTGCCAGTGCTTAGACCTCCTCCAGTTGACCTTGCATGGGGGTGTGGAGCCAGCAGCTCTCCGAACGGCTGTACAGGCACACTTGGCCAAGTATCAGGAGGTGTATCCTGACGAAACTTTTTTGCCGAAAGGGCACATGGCGATGCACCTTCCAGGACAACTCTCGCAACACGGGATGCTCATCTCTTGCCTGACACACGAGAGACGCCACAAAGAGTTGAAGCGCTACGCAAACAACCAGAACTGTGCCCGAGCAGGCACTGAAAAAGGCCTTTTACGAGAGATGGAACTCACCCATCTCGAGGCACTGGACCG